AGGAGTAGGAGTAGGAGTAGGGTAGGGTAGGGTAGGGGTAGGAATAGGTGTACGAGTAGGAGCACGAATGAGAGTCAGGAAAGCACTCACACGTGCCTTTTGTGAGAGACCATGGTTTTGAACGACTTTTCACACATTTGCACAGTTTCTGCACGAAACGCATCTACAAACCCTTATAAGCTCCGGCCCCAAAGGCAACGGGCATGGAGGGCCAGTCAATTCAAAGACCAGGCAGACCCCGGGGCTGATAGCTTCGTGTGTTAGGGGATTCAGGGTTCTCCTTCCTAGATCAGTTGTTTGTTCTTTTTTGATGTGCAGAGCTTTTGTCCCGATTAGCTAGCCGGTTTCGACGGCGCTTATGTTCTTTGGTTCAATTCCTAGATGTTAGATCCGGCTTCAAGTTGTTGCATCGTGTTTTAGGGTCATAGGGCTTAGGGTTGAAATTCACGGTCCAGGTCTACAGACGCTGGGCTCTAATGAGGTTAGACATGTTTAAGATTTTAGGATTCAAGTCGAGGATTCAAGTTTTGGTCTAAGATTGAGGGCATGGTTGAAGTTCGGGTGTCAGTTGTGGGTTTGGGGCTCAGGGTATCAGCAAGGTTGAAGGATGGTTCTTTCTCCTGTTCACGTCATGCAGAAGAGAGCATGCCCTGTTGATCTTGCCCCGAGTCGCTTTAATTTCGTTGTTGCTCTCTCATCGCAATGCTATACATCGCTTTCTTCCTAACAAGCCTTCCAGGCACCGGTCGATTTGGTTTCAAGGCAGGACTTCCTGGCCTGGGGTTTCGGGTTTTCGGTGTTACAAGGATTTTGCGGGTTGGCTGCTTTATAGTCCCAAGCCCCCGGATAGCCTTGAGCGTGTGATGCCTGGGTGGGGGAACGCCGCGGCAACGACAAGGGTCATCCTCCTGCTCACCCCGAACCGCCCGAACCTTACAAAAAAAATATCTGCCCACCGAAACACACCGAAAACCCGACTACACCGTAAAGCGCCCCTAAGCTCCCCCAAAAGACTAAGCCCTCCAAGACTTCAACAACCAACCGGCAGAGGCCTGCTTGAGATGACGCTTCGCAAATCGCTGCCGGGTGGTTGGTCCTCTGACACATTAGCAAGACCATCCCAGATCATGGGGCTGGGCGTCTGATAGTGGCAATGTTCCGGAGATGTATATCGGAGTGGTCGCGGACACTGTTCGGGGGTGTTGCTTCACTTTCAGATTCTGATTCAAGGTGGCTTTGCAAGGTTGCACCTTCTTCCCAGTAGACTCGGGCCAGACACCCTTCGCACCTACAGCCCCGAACCCCTTGTAGCGTAGAGAACCCTATTTAGCCTAAAGCAGACAAGCATTCTAAATCAGCGGCTGCTTCCAACCTACTTACGCAATCCCCCACGAAGCCTTCAAGCAGAGAGTCTGGATTTCGACCCAGCCAGAAGGATGTAGGATTCCAGGGTGGCAGTCGAGGATCGATGCTTAAGCTTCATGCAAGGTGATCTAGAGGTGTTGCTCTAGAAGAGTTAAGGTTTTACTGCTTCGTCTTGTATTGAAGATAGATTCGAGTCCCCAAAGAGGAAGTGCACTTCAGTTTTCCTGCGAAGGCTGAGATTGGATACCTCGTGTGACCACACATCTTCATGAATACGCCCTCGCACCCATGTTTGCTTGAATAATGCTTACCGTCCTTCCATCAGCCGCCCCTGTGTACACACCACCCGGTGTTCAGTGAGTTTACGTCCTAGGTCATGCTACTCGTACTTTAGTTGGCCCGGTGCTTCCTCATCGTGGGCCCACAGCAGCCGTGGCGCTGCGGACGGGTATCAGAGGGGGCAGGCAGAAGTTCCCGTGCAATTGCGTCGTGTAATCCCACAGGCGAAAACGATACATCGGAACTTGCCATGAAGCTTTCCATCGCAGCACCTCATCCACTCGAAGCATCTCGAAGCGACACCAGTCTCGATTTTTTGCCGTGGACGAGGTCGCACTGTGACCTGTGCGAAAGTCAAGGGCGGTTTTGGCATCAGAGCTGGCTTACAGCCTCCAGTAACCGGGCATACCCAGGAAATCAGACGACGGCATCATGAAGGCCTACGACTTCACAGTGCTAGAATGACATGTCCTGTTTTAGATTTTAGATGCAGGCCAGTGCTCGGATCGAATGTGGCATAACGGGTAAACACACACGAAGACAGCCCAAAGTTGTAAAGCTGAAAACCTCAAAGCCTCAACCCTAAGACTTAGACAAAGAGACATTGGTCTCAAGTACTTGTTCCTTCGCCACGAAGCAATCGGCGACTCCTGTCCTACTCCATGAGATTTTTCGATGTTCTTGAGCACGAGGGCTGCCACCAGCTGCCGCCCCTAAACCCAACAGGAGGGTCGATCCTGGGTCTCAAAGCAAGACCTCTGTGCTCTGGGCCCAAGGTTGACCTCTTCGGGTTACAAGCGGCTTGCCCCCGCCCTTTGCCCGGTGAATCCAGAGCACCGGAGGTTCCGTCCGAGAATGCATAGAGCTTGGGGTGTCGGGTTCCTGAACCCTGAACCTTAATCCAAAAACTAAAAAGCACAAGCTGGTCGCACGTCACAGGGACGTTTGCAAAGACTGCGCAATTCTTCGAGTTCATCGTTCTGACTCTTGCAGCTACTATGGTTGCTACGACTCCTTAGGGTTTCTACAGTTCAGTTTTGCAATCACCTAGATTTCGTATGAACATCTGTTACGAACAAACAATACTATGGCAAGCAAGCACTGTAATATTTACTGCGGCTCTACCGGAAGGACTGCTAGACGTACTGGAAGTCAACATCTTCATTTGTCTGAGCTGTAGGCAGGTTTGTGCAGGATGAGTAGGCGGGCACTGTAGGTGTGTCTCATCGGAATGACACGTTGGGGGTTTGTAGCGGCTTGAGTTCTTGAGTTGCGATGTTGACACTAAGACATATATATATATACACATATATATATATAGATACACACACGTACGACATACAGACATACATTCGTACTTACAGTCGGGGTCCGTGCATCATAGTGGGCGGCCATGCTGGTAGAGAAGTGAGGCAGCAATAGCAAGTGGCTGAAGGGCCCCTGTTCAGCAGCGTTCGGGGACAGGACTGAAGATGTCTAGTCTAGCGGGGTAGGAAGCACAGCTAGGCTGACAGCATTGCTGGGATAGCGAAAATTACGTTTATTGTCAAACGGTATTATTACATGTCCTTACATACATACATATATATATATACATATGTAGTATATATGTGTGTTTGTGTGTGTGTGTGTTTTTTCCTTGCTGCGGTCATGTTCAGGCTTGGGGGCTCAGGTTCTGGCGATGTTTTCGGCCAACCAGTCTGTGACCATCTGAATGGCAAAGCCAAAGCTGTCCTCGCAGATGGTTTTTCGCCCGTCAGCACCTTCGATGCTGGAAGCAGTTGTTTGAAATCATGGGTGACGCGGCTCAGGCGTAGATTGTTAAAGCTTTACGGGATTGCGGGCTTAGGGTTTCTTATCGGTGTTACGTGATTCCCTTTGGGGTTAGAAATCGTTCCGTTAGGGGCTTGGCTTCTGGGCTTTGCTTTCCGTGAGGTTTCTGAGGATTTTAATATCATCTCTGTTTTACTGTAGCATTTCGCATCCATTCTCCTGCTCTCTAGGGCCTTGCCAGCGTGAACCTCGCAGAAAATGAGCGGCCAGAACAGAAGATAAAAGCAAATCCAGAAAGGAGCCCCGCAGGTACACCCCCAAATCACGAACCAGACTAGACGATACTATACTAAACTATGTGGTCAGCCAAGGCATTGATCCTTGGATCTACCTCCTGCCCCTGGGCCGCAGAGGTTTGCTTCTGGAGCCGAAGAACGGAACGTTCAGGGTTAATGACGGTTAATGTTTGTTGCTTCAGGTGTTTAGGCTAAACAAAACCATACTATGCTTTTCTATGCTAGCTGCTATGTGATACGATACTATACTATTGGGGTGGGGTTCAGGGACAGGGCAGGGCTGAGATCTCAACTATACTGTGGCTTTGTCGCCTGCGGTCCAGGACGTCGGCACCTGATCTCAAGCATAACTCCACATTCTGACTCCACTATTTGCTGTAGGCATGTGTACAATTTTTTATTATATGTTCAAATAGGATTCCTTTGCCGTAAAGTCCAGAACAGGAATGGGGACGCCCGTGGCTCCCGATATCGATGTTCGCAGGCTCGCAAGGGACTCTGATGATCAGACTTCGCCTTGCCTCAGCTTTCGTTTCGGTTTAAAGGCTATTCCTTAGCACACCCCAAGACTGCAGGTTCATGATGATCAGGCCCGTACGAAGGCCAGCAAAGCCTTCCAAAAGCCCTTGTAAGCTTCATTTATAAGACCCGAAAGGCTCCACTGCGTCTAGACAGAAACTGCCCGCGAACATGCAGGGGGTGAAGGCAGTGTCTGTGACGAGACGGTGTTCGCAATGCCTCAGTAGCACAACACAGGATGACCTTCTCACGCTTTGTATGCTTGTCTGCATGCTTTTCTGCTATCTTTGGGCAGCAAGATGCGAAATCAGATTGCGCATGCACCCAATGGAAGCGGGCGAGGCAGTGCTAAGGGTGCCAAGGGTACCGCAAATCGAAGACAATGAACTACAGTCAGTCCTCCGATGCTCAAATCGCCACTCCTTTTCAGCTGCACGTCCGATGTACCCAGCATGTTGATGGCGGTGATTCTTTATTGGTGCAGGCCGTTCGTGTTGCAATGTGTTTGGAAGCCCATTTGCGCCTACCCAGTCTGCTCCCTTCGGACTGGGATGCCCCAGTGTTTTCGTACCCACAGCTGTCAGCTCAGGGCGGCATTTCTTTGGCGCCGAAGGCAGCCATAGCCGCATCTGGACTACTAGAGGGTGGGATCCCCTTAGAGAAGGCGCGAGAAACACCAAGAGAAACATCCTCAGGTATCAACACGAAAGAGAAAAACCAAGCGCCCGACACTTCAAAAACATCTTGCGGGGTGCCAATGCGCAAATATGTGAAGTATATCGCTTGCACTCTCAACGCAGGTGGAGGAGATTTTCCGGAGTCCCCCAAGGGGAACCACTCCCATGGATCGGACGTTGAATCAGGCATCGCACTACTGGGGTATTACAAAGGGTTTCTGAGGGTAGTACAAAAGGTTTGTTCAGGTTAATCTGGAGCCCCAGTATCGGGAGGCCTAATGCGGTTTTGGTTTTGGTTTTAAGAATTTTCTTGGGGTGTGTATTAATGAAGGTTTCACCCCCAAACCCCCCTAGCCCCATGACTCTTTTTGCTCCACAAGCCGAGATTGTCAGATCTTCTGTGAGCAGTTTCCGTTTTCTTGACGATGCTCGCCTCGTTGACCGACCCTTCAGTGTTACAAGGTTCTGTTTCGTGTTTGATTACATCGCACTGCAATTCTGTCCAGCTCTTTGGGCCTTGGGTCTGGAGCCAGTGTCATGTTTGCACCCTACAGAAACCCTGCGTAAACAACCTATTTTTTGATGGCCCCCAAGTAACTAGCCCTTGCTTTACGCCGAACACCCAACCCGAAATATGGAAAGTTCAGAACTTTGGGCAGGTACTTCAGGATTTTGCTCCTGCTTCAACGGGCAAGCCGCTTCTCATTCTCGCCTTGACTGACGGTGAGGCCATGGCTTCCACGGCTTTGGCTCGGGGGTGTCCCCGTTTCAGCACCTCAATCCATAGTTTGGCTTTAACTCTAACCAGAGTATCACTTTCTCTGTAGTGGCCATTAGACTGGGCAAAGGCAGAACTTGTGTACTCGATTCTGCTAAAGAATCTTGAAGTTTCTGGCATTTCGTCACTAAAACACAAGTTATGTCGAGAATAGCCTAGTGACATTCGGAGGTTCTGAGCCTTTAGGGACCCCAGAGTAGACAACTCTCACATCAGGCAAACGACATGAATGCCTTCAACCAGGCTGGCAGGGGGTTTAGGGTTTTTGGGTTTAGGGGTTTAGGGCCCAGGCAGGGGTCAGGGGGTTCAGACCTCCATGAAGCATGTTGATTGTACATACCGGACCTGCCAGGTGAACTTGTAGCTTTGTCGTGTGAATGTACAGGCAAGGGTCCGAATAAGTAGTGACAGTATTCCTTTATAACCCCTATTCTTGCAATTAAGGTCCCTCTACTGTATAGCCTATACTACAGATTATTTACAACACCCCAAAGCCTAAAACCCAGACCTTTACAGTAACGACGGTGCGACTGCCCATTGGATAGTCCCTTACAAGAGGTCGCGCTCAGAAAGCAAGGACTCAATGCGGGACTCTGATTTAGAGACCTACCCTTTCGAAGATCGTGTAGGGTTTAGGGTTTAGGGTTCAGGGAGTGAGCTCCTTCGAAGTTCTACACATAGACCTCTTGCACGTGCTGACGGCGAGGTCCTGGACAGGATTCAGAACATGGCATCTTGGCTGATCTTGCACATGTTTGTTCATTTTTTAATGGAAACTTGAATATATCCTACACCCTAGACCCTGAAGCCCTCAATCTCAAACAGCACTGGACCCTATGGCCGCCTGAAAGCCCTGACCCCAAGCTAAACACAACCCGGCTTCCTACCTAATGGTGATACACGAATCCCTAAATACTATAACCCTTCCCCTTTCGCCCCGTTTCCGAAATTACAATTTCGGTACTCAGGCTCCCAAAGCCCCAAGATCGTAAACAGGCCTCTCGAACCACTAGGTCCTAACCAACAGGAGAGACAACGGCATTGAAGCAGGTATATGGCGATGTGCAGGTTTGTCTCATGGGCTTGTCTCTTGTCAAGGAGGACCGCCCCAAACCTAAACGTTTCAAACCTCAACCCACCGTCTTCGACCGGCGCTTGGGTTTGGGAGCTTTGGAGGGCTGCGGGCGGCTTGGTTAGGTTTCGGTGTTATAGGGCCTTTAGGGTTGCTGGAATTTCAGAAATTTTTAGTGTGAAGCGTCTAGATCTGGGATTGACCAGTGCATTCATAAACCCTACGTAAGGGTTAGGAGCATTGAACGCAAAAAACCAGCACCAGCTTCCTAGTGCTGAAAGCCCTCAACCTGAATGAATTGAACACCCAGAGTTTTTATGCGCTCTGCCCTTGGTTGCGCAGCCAATCGAACCATAATTATATATATATATATGTATATATGACAAGGTGCTGCCGAAGTTTAGGTTTGGAGTAATGCTCCTGATGCCGGAGATACCAGAATATCTCAGTTGAGGAATATGCCTCGAGTTTGAACAGAGTTCTTAAGTCAAAGGCATTTTAAATTGACTAAAGCTATGGCATATGGGAGTCTCTTGGAACGCTTGGACTGAGTCCTTGACGCGAGGACATCGAGTGGTTCGAGCAGGAGGAGTGCGAAGATACACGGATCCGCACTATCGAAGCCTTTGAGGTTGAGAACAGGCAGATTCAGATGAAGGAGCGGTTTAGGGCTGTTTGGGGGCATAGGCTGGAACGGAACTTTGCTTAAAGTTTGGAGTGCACAAGTTGTCCGCCAGCAGAGACTTGAACAAAGCCCAACCGCGCTAGCCCTTTGAGGAGGTGATGAAGCGGGAAGGTGGCTACACCTTTGCCATGCATGTTATGCGGGCCCTTGTGACCAACTTTTATCCTGCAGACTACGACTACGAGACACCCTTGCAGAATTTCCGACATCGGCTGTACATTACCATCCATGGCCGGGACCGATGGTGGGGGCAGCAAAATCCTTTGTGGTTCCTGCTTTGCACCTCAGGCTTCTGCCCAGCCTGTTTCCTGGCCACTGGTTGCCACTGCTGCGGCTGGCTCCAGGGCAATGACTGTGGGAAGTACGAAATTCCTCCGTGCCTGGAGCCCTGTCTCAAGGGCGAATGAAAGGATTCTTTGTCTCATGCAGTAATGGTCAGCTGGCTAGCACCGAGCCGATGTGTGATGACTGCAATGGGCAAGGCAGAACCTCACCATGTAGCATCTGTGTGTCAGACGATAAAGCTGTGACTGTTTCGCGATCGAATACTTGTAGCAGGCCAGGTCTGCCAAAGGCTCATTCTTCAGGTGTTCTGTGCAGGCAGCTGGATTCTTGCGGTGCTTTTTAAGACAGCTGCTAGCAGGCGCCGGCTTAAGCTCCACCCTAGACTACCCTCAGCGTCCACCGCCGGCTACTTTACAGGGTAATAGAAACTGATTTATGTAGCATTTGTAAGAGCCTTATATAACATTGTGTTGCGGTAGTCTGCGGTAGTCCTCGTTTCTTGGGCTTGCTTGCTGTACAGAAGAGGCCTTATGCAAACCAAAGAACCACTGACTTCGTCGAGGGCCAAGCGATTGCGGGCGAGAGAGAACAACTGCTTATGAGATACAGTGTACGGTGTTGGCTTCGTCCTAACATCCTACACTTGTACGTCAGATAATTTTGTGCAGCTTCACGCTCATATTGCGGGAGTTTCTTTGACTTCAGGGATGTCACGGATGTCAAGCTAAACCCAAAATGGCAGGGCGCATCCTTATTGTAAGGAACGCGAACATGCTGGCAGACCTCTATGCACGGTTAGTAGCCTTAAGGTTGACACTGAGGCTACCTTGTATCATACTGTTTTGAATCTTCTGTGAATGTACGTGCAATAGCGATCCTGTCATATCAATTTTCGTTGTACCGTCCAATTCGTAATGACCTCGTCATCAAAGATATTCTAGTATAAGGAACTAGAAAATAATAGATATATACATATATATAGATATATAAAAAAAATTAAAATGAAAAATGATCTGAATTTTAGACGGCTTCTACAAATATATATTTTTTTGATATTTGATGAAATTAAAATATTTCTTATTATTAGAAATTATGCTTCTTAATATAAAACTCTGAAAGATTTTTTGCATTTCTGAAAACTTTTATTCAGAATATTTAGAAATAATTGGGAGTATAGAAAATATATCGAAAAAAATCTTCGAAGCAGGAAGGAGGGAGGGCGATGAATTCTGAATTTTACCATAAGAAGGAAGGAAGAGATTCTAATTATGGAAGAAAATCGGAAATGTATATAGCTTTGTTCGAGTATTGATTATATTTTCGATAATTTGATAATTTTTTTTGTAGTTTGAAAGAATTTATATTATGAATATGAATAGATTTAGATTATTTTCTGATTCGATTAGTGATATTTTATCGAGGCTATAAATTCTTTATATTTGAAGATTAAATATTAAAAAAAATTGAATATGTTTTGATGAAGAATAATTGATTTTATATTATTCTATATTTATTGAATTTATTTGGACTTGGGAGATTTTTTTTATATTATTTCTTTGGACGCTCTATTATTAATTTTATAATAATTAATTGAATTATTATACGATTTCTAGAAATAT